CCAATTTCTCTTTAAAAACCGTCAGCGGAGCATCCCTCTCTTTCTATGCAGCGCGAAAAGGCGAAGCAGGTAATACATAAAAAATACTCTACCCGGAACCATTTTATGGCCAACAGATCAGCAATTTGACACGTCACGTGTTCGCAAAAATGTAGACTAAGCAATTCCGGAATAGAATTTATCAAAAATTTAAAGCTAAGTGCAGGTCTTGATGTATACCGTTCTATATTTCACCATGAAAGTACTACGTTTCGAAGGTCTGTTTCTTTGAGGCTACAAGCTTCCATTCGCTTAATTAACTTTGCAAACTACGTAATATTTTGTGAAGAGAATAAAGAGAGCTAATTGACATTTACGAATATTCCCGATCCCTTACTTTAGAGTAGAGTTTAGAAGGCATCGTAAATGAGCTACCCGCGTTTTCTTCCAACGGAACATTAGCTGTGATGTTTACTATAAAACCATATCTCTGATTTTAATATGCCATTTCAACAGAAAAATTTAAGGAAACCTACAATTTTCAAAAAGTTGTGCTGGCGTATTTTTTTTTTCGTAATCACTAACAAACTTTAATGTCAATTAATAAAAGAAATCCAAGTGGTGTGCTTACCTTCTTTAATATGTTGGATATGTTACACCTGTTATAGTAATCTTACACCAATTATTAAGCATGAAAATTATATGATAAGATTAAAAAACTGAAAAAAAGAAATGAAGGCACCTTAATCACTGATTAGCAGCTAACGTCCCAAAGAATGTGATTAATTTAGAAGTCAGCGTATCAAAGCAATGGCTGATTGTGGACGTAAGTTTGCCTGTCGCCCAAAGCAAAAGGTGTAATACGTATACTAAAACAACGTGATACATGTAAAGTATGAATTAGAGAACGTTTTATTAATTTGTTCTAATAACAGATAAGAACCAGTATTTCTGATGTTAGAAACGTGCGTAATCCAGTGTTCCATTTTCAATGTCATTCTGTAATTTCTATTCTGTAATTTGACCTGGTGAATCCGCCGTTCAGTTGGATTACCCACACTCTCTGGCAAATATTCAGGCCGTTTATGAATGTTAAATTCATATATCATAGCTGACTAAAGATTTATTGCACTATTCTTGCTTATATTATATGTGGTTCAAAATATGTGATTTGATATGAATGGAAAGTTTGTGTCTGGAAACATTTAAATACTTTTCTCATGAAAATTAAAGGCAGTATTCCTTTCCTTTACCCCATTTTGTTGAAATGCTTTTAATTTGGGATAGATGTGTCAAAAAGAAATCAGACGTTTTAACCAGATTTTTGTAAAAAAAAATAATAATCCTTTATTATCTAGAATTATTGTTACTTTGATTAATAAATTTTAGTGAAATTAAAATAGTGAAAAGAGGGACACTTTTAAATGTAAGTAAATTTCTTAATTTAATTAATTTGCAACGTTTTGATGCCCCTGTATAGAAATTTAATTTTATAGTTCAGTCATTGTCCCATAATTAGGACTCTTATTCATTACATCGAAGTTGAATTCAAATTCGCAAGCAAGATCGATCGCAAGGAGGTATTTTTCTGTGACCTTCAGCAAGGAAAATGTTTATTATTAATATTACTTATTATTACTAAACAAAAGTATCTAAATGCGTGGGCATTTTCATATTTTTGTCTTTGTTTGAGTAACTTTTTCAACTTTCTTCACAGAATTGCGACAATATCACTAAAATGATAAAAATTTTTTGTGTTAATTTAAATTTTTCCCTTAAATGATTATGAACAAAATATTTCTAAAGCAGTCCTTTTGTGAATTAAATAATATAAGAAGTTTCATTCTGTTAAGCAATTTTGTATGTTAATGTTATCTTATCAACTATTGATGTTCTTTTAATCAGACCTTTTTTCTAATAAAACAAATATTACCAAAAATATCAGCTACTTACTATGAAACCAATCCCACAGTAATATTAAAACAGTAAAGTACAGAAAGACTATGATTAAATAATTGTGATATTAATATCTATTTGTCAAATTCACATATATTTGAAATGTTAAAATATGTGATATATATATTGTTACGAAATGTCCAGGCGCGGTAAGATAGCTTCCCCGCAAAGCAGTTTTAGGGTTGCCGTAAATGGCAAGGGAAGGCAAAATTGCCACGTTTGGCGACATTTGGCGATGAAATTGGCGATATGTCAGGGACGGATGGAGAACTTTCTGGAACGAATTCTTACCGGTTTAGCCCAGAATGTTCTAGAGCACAAGCCGAAAGCTACTTAAACCAGCTGGTCCGCAGTCAGTCATTGAGCGAGCTGTAGTGTCTTCGAGATTGCCTCTTTGAAATGGCGACTTAGTGTGTGCCTCGAGAGTGCTAGATAGATAGTATCGAGCTGGTGTCTCGTCTAACGAATCTATCCCTGCGGAGTCGATCGAGTTTACAGCCGGGCAGCAAGTGCCGAGTGGGTCGTCGAGTGCACCGAAGGAGTCTTTTAAACTTCGTTCAAACGGGGGCGTAAAGGGCACAAGTGGTTAAAGCCGAGCTCCGTTGCCAAGGCAACCAGTCTGTGCTACGTAACAAAATCTGGTTTAGTGCTCGTGGCATAGGGTTCAAAGTTTTGAACTTTACGCCGAGTTTGCGATAAGCGTCAACCAATCAGAGCAACGCTAAAACGAAGCTGCGTTCTACAGAAGATTTCGCTGTCACAAGTAGAACAAACGCGGGAAATCAATCGAGCAGGATAACAGCGCGGGAAAGTTGTAGACACATCCACACATGCGCAAATTTAGCTTCTCTTATTTGGCCACGGCTTACACCCCGTTCTCGCAAGTGTGAACGGAATTCCCGTATTTTATGCTCTTATGACTACGCCTTACGCGGCCGTCTGAATGCAGCCTAAGTGTATCGCGATTAGTGCATCGTCGAGAGAGCGTATTGAGCTCCGGGAACGACTGAACCGAAGAGTCGGAAGCTGTGCTCTTTTGTGTCGTCGAGTGCATCGCGAGTTGTAGCGTGGAGAGTCTCGAGATTACGTGGAGTTCCGAGAACGACGAAGCAGAGTCGTAAGCTGTACTCTGGTGCTTTGCAGTGAAGCTGTCTCCACCGTGATAACCTGATAACCTGAAGGCTGTGTCGCTGATCGTGCAGCGTGTTTATAGTGTCTTCGACGACTGTAAAGTGTTTTGGAGCTCTCCTGATTAATATTGGTAAATAAAGCGTGTTTTGATACTCCATGAAGTAGTATTGTCATTATTCACTCCAAATCCATACAAACCCCGTACGAACGTGAAGGAAGAAAATAACGTAACAACTGGTGTCTGAAGAAGAAAAACGTAACAATATGAAATCTTATTTTGTTCATGATTTTTTTAGTTGATAATTTCCCATAAACTGCAAGAAGAAATTAAATTTCTTTAAATTATTTAATAATACCAATTATTTAATTCTATAAAAATTAGCATACACATAAAAATGTATTATTCTTAGTCAGTTTTTAAGAACTTTAACTACTTTACATATTGGCATATTTTGATACAACTTCTAATATCTTCAACTCTTCCTGCCAAAAAGCACTATGACTAAATTCCACCAGTGTGACCAAATTCAATTACAGCTTTTTCAGATAGCTATAATGAATTGTCAGAAATAACTTTTGTCCAATATGCTTTTTCAAAAAACGTAAAATGCTTATGAACAGGAAGACCCTTTTTGGGATCAAATACCCGACGAGGAAATTTATCCTTGTCAACAGAAAAATTTCGGATTTTCCAGGACATTTTTAAAGTTTTTTGTTTATAAAATGCCGGACGGGTAAGATGTATGCTTGGCAACAGAGACAATTTAAGATTCATGGTTTTTGACCTTGTCTGCACTCACGATTCTGTCAAAGAATCAATAATAATCAATGTGGAATAATTTACTTACTTAATATTCCATTATCGGTGGTTCTTGTGTTATATTGGCCTAAATAACCACACTTTAACTAGATATATTTAATGAAGAGAAGACTATGTACAAGTATTATATACAGATTACAGGATATCTAGTTTATACCACTCTCAACCACTCTCATCAAACTCTCAACTCTCTCTGATGAAACTAGCTAAACATATGGGCGGCGCAGCGCCCTCTACATCACTCCTCACCTGTACTCTTTAACAAGAGTACCCTTTAATACGAGTACACACACTTACCTACATAACAATATTAATATTAATTAATAATGGTTTAATACTAAATAGTACGACATATATAAATGAATAATATAAAAGAATAATCTATACTAGTATATATACCAAAACCACAAATGAGCATAATAATTAAAAATGCAATAATAAACTCAAATAATATCAAAAGTTCTAAATTAAATTTCGAAAGGATATAACATTTGGACCGATCTTCTGAATTGTCCTTTGGGCGTGGGAACGAGGCACACTCCAACATGCCCATCTCTTCCTATAATCACGTTTTCCAATTACACCCATGTCCCAAAGTAGTTTGGATTGTTTTGGTCCTTCTACCAACACAACGTCTCCAGTCTTAAGGTTCCGCTCAGATGTAGGATTAGCAAAGTTATGCGCATTTCTAAGATGTAGTAAATATTGCTCTTTCCACTTAATCCATGTTAATTTTAAGAGCCTAGATTGGTAAAGCTTCCTCTTAGTTAAAGTCTCTTTCTCTGACACCTTGTTAAAAATTTTCAAGAAATGCTCGGGAAAGTTATATGTATGACGTCCTGGCAGCAAAAACTGTGAAGGTGTGAGCGGGCGAGGTTCACCCAGCTCGTTGCTTTCGTATGTTAAAGGTCTATTATTTAATACACACTCGAGTTCAGTTAATATTGTAGAGAGCTCTTCGAAAGTCAGTAATGCTCTCCCTAAGATTTTCTTCAGAGGTTCCTTGATGCTTCTCATCAAACGCTCCCAGAACCTTCCCCACCATGGGTAGCGCTCAGGTATGAATTTTCATGTTATCTCTTTGGATGTCAAGAAATCTCAAACGAACTTCGATTTAAGCAGTATAATAGGATGTTTTTTTGTCATCTATTAATTCTGCTTGTTTCAAACGACCTCTGACATGCAAAATACCTCTACTGTCCAGATATGGTGCTAAACTATAAAGCTTCGAGTCTGGTGTTATTAGATTAGTCCTCTCTAGTTGTTGAATATCCGAAAAATAATTCTCTCTCTGGACTTGTTTCATCCAGTACTCCTCAGCTTCTTGGATCTCCAATACAGTAAGAGGACCTTCTGCACAAGTGTGTTTTCTTAGCTTGGCGACAATCCGCTTTACCCATGCTGCAACTGTCAACAATTCTTCCAGACTGCTGAATTTGGTAATGTTTGATGCAGTTTCTCGTTCTCGAACCGTCACCTGAATATAAGTGCTTGAACTTTCTAAATTTTTAGTATGAGTTTCTGCTTTAATCTTTTGCTCAGACCATCGATCTTCAGAATCTTTCAACCATGATGGACCATGCCACCAATTATTATCTTTCACCAATGCATTTGCTGTTTCACCATGAGTTAACTTATGTGCTCGGTTTTCCGACCCTGGACAATATTTCCACTTATCAGGCGAACTACAGTCTTCTATTTCTGCAACTGTATTCGACACGAACTGCTTCCACTCACGCACTGACCCCTTTATCCACCGCAAACAAATTTCTGATTTCGTCCACAGAACTAACCTACCTACCAAATCCTGAAACATTTTCAATAAATATTTCCCTAACCTAGCTGCCACTACAGCCCCCATCAATTCCAACCTAGGGAGGGACAACTTTTCAACGAAGCTATCCTACTATTTGACATTATAAACGACGTATATACCTCTCCTCTCTCATTCTTATGTCTAAAATATGCCACCGCTCCATATGCCACTACTGACACATAACTGAAAATATGAAGTTCAACCGAATGACCTTTACTTAGAACTTCTGTAAAATAGTACCTCTCTATTTTCAACGCGTTTAATTCCTCAATAGTAGCGCACCATTTTGTACCGTAACTCTTCTGCTATGCACCGTAAATCTTCTGGCAACTCTGAATCTCTATCCAAACCTCTCTCCCATATTTCCTGCATCAGTCTCTTAATTAGCACCACAAATTGAGAAATAAATCGGACTTGGTCAAACACCTTAACTGCTGTGCTTAACACCGATCTTTCACTATTTCTCAACGATTCTAAACTATTCAACAATGATGTAACGTCTAGACTAGAAGAGAAACACGCTAATGTGACAATCAAAATCGTAAAAACAACCTTGTATTTAGCGTAAGTATAATGAAATACTGAGTCGATTTCGAGGGCAGCTAAAGGTCCCTCCTCATCAGAAGAAAGAAATACCTATAAAGAAGAAAATAAAGGAGAAGGAGTCTCAGAAACACGTGGGCCTTATCAGCACTGCTCGTGGTTATAACTGGATTTTTAATCAGAGTTGCACTGGCCGCCTACTTTTACTGAGCCAGGCTATCTGATCAAGCATAAAGGACAAGAAAATTTAGCGAAGTTAAAATAGGGAGCGAGGGACAAATGCACCTTCACGCTCAAAAGCTGAACTTCAAATAATGAATTTCATTCATTATTTGAAGTTCATTCATTGTTTGAAACTGCATTACTTCATTCATTATTTGAAACTGCATTACGTCATTCATTATTTGAAACTGCATTACTTCATTATGAATAATGCAGTTTCAAATAATGGAAACTGCATTACTTCATTCATTATTTGAAACTGCATTACTTCATTATTTGAAGTTCAGATTTTGAGCGTTAAGGTGCATTTGCCCCTCGCTCCCTATTTTAACTTCGCTAATTTTTCTTGTCCTTTATGCTTGATCAGATAGCCTGGCTCAGTAAAAGTAGGCGGCCAGTGCAACTCTGATTAAAAATCCAGTTATAACCACGAGCAGTGCTGATAAGGACCACGTGTTTCTGAGACTCCTTCTCCTTTATTTTTTTTCTTTCTAGGTATTTCTTCTCCTTATGAGGAGGGACCTTTAGCTGCCCTCGAAATCGATTGAGTGTTTTATTATAATTACGCTAAATACAAGGTTGTTTTTACGATTTTGATGTAACGTCTACTCTCAAACCAACCTCATCTAAGTTCCACACCACTTTCAACTTACTATCTCTCGTAAACCGTCTTTCTTCACACAACCCATTCTGAATCCACAAGTCATACAACTCTTTAGAATTATTGTTTAGCTTTCTGAAATTGAAACTCGCGTCTATCAAAATAAATAACGCCTCTGATGAAAGACCGAAAGCTGACTCAACACTTGCCCCTCCATAACACAAATCGTCTGCATACAGGGAGCTATTTAATATCTCGACACAGTTTTTGTTTGTTTTGCCGTATTTCTTAAAATTATATTTGACCGTTGCACTCAATAAAAACGATGAACAATTACATCCAAATAATATTTTGTTCATTTGCATAATTTTAAAGTTCTCACTGTTATTATCAAGATACCAGATAAATTTTAAATATTGTCTATCTTCCCTTGCTATCCCAATCTGCTTGTTCGCCAATTGGTTGATCTGTAGAAGGAAGGAGGCGTTCGATGCATTCGCTAAACTTTCCGACAGAAGTGACTGGATCTGGAGTTCCAGGAGTAGAAGTAGGGAAGTTCCAGGAGATCATCCTTCCAAGTAGATCTGAAACCTAATAAAATTGTAGGCAATACAGCAGTCCACTGATTATTGCTATGCGCCATGATTTCGGATTTCAACTGCCGATGAAATCTTTTAACTTAGCCATATGCAGACATCTGGTACGGTGTCAAGCTGTATACAGGAACTTGGTGAATGCATTGAAGAGTGATGATTCAAATTGCCTTTCTTGGTCGGTAGCTAGCTGGATTAGAGCTCTGAATCTGGAGATCCAACCAGTGTAAAAGACTGCTGCAATAGTCTGTGCAGATATATCTACTAACAGAAATGCTTCTGTCAACTTCAAAAAACAATCGACACATGTGAAACAGTATCAAAAGCCTTCGGATGGAGGAAGATGACCCACGAAATCAATGTGCACGTGTTTCGAATATAGAACTAGGTCGTACAAAAATCCCAGTTTTACTTTTTGTATGGCGTGTCACTTTAGATTTCTGACACTGTAACCACTCACGAGTCCAAGATGCCATATCCGCTTTTATTGAAGGCCAAATACATCTTTCGTCGATCAGCTTTACTGAGGCTATAACTCCTGGGTTTGAGAGAGAGTAAAAGCTGCTAAACACTGCTGGACGTAATAATTGTGGAATGAAAGGGCGAATGTGACCATATATCACAGTTCAGAATAACTGGAGGCTGACCAATAGGGAGTGGCTGCAGCGCTAACGAGGTAGTCAAATTTTCTGATAAAATATATTGCAATTCTGCATAATTTTCCTTCTCCTTTACAAGCTGGTAATAGTCGATAGCGGTTGGTGTGCTAATAGTACCTATATGAATCCGAGACACCACATCTGCTACCACATTGTCTGAACCTTTTAAGTAGCGAATATCAGTCGTAAATTGGCTGATAAAATCCAGTTGTCTTTGTTGTCGTAGGGAGCATTTATATTTTTACCAAAATGCAAATGTAAGCGATTTGGGGTCCTTGAATAAAATGAAGTTACGACCTGCCACCATATGTCGAAAGTGTCATATGGTCATATACAACGTAAGGAGCTCTCTGTCGTACGCGCTGTACCTCTATTGTGTTAGAGATAGTTTTTTTATTAAAGAATTTCCGTCCTTTTTCAACTTCTTGGTGAAGAGTTGCACCCGTATCTGTGTCAAAAGCATCAACTAATATTGCGAGCGGGGCCTCCGATGAAGAATGGTACATGGTAGAAGGACCTCTCCGTGGCGTTGACAGGTCCTTCTTACATTTCTCAATTGCATTTGTGGTTACTTCCGTCCATGCGCTTGGTATTTTATTCGTCGCTCCCTTTAGATATGTATTAAGCATTGCTTGTGTTTTTACAGCCTGCGGAATAAAACTCCGGTAAATGTTGTCCATAACCAGAAAACGCCCAAGTTCTTCACAATTTCTGGTTTGGGGAAATTAACTATTACTGAAACTTTCTTTAATAAGCGAGTAATACCCTCGGGAGTTATGATATGTCCTAGAAATTTCACAACTGATTTAACCAATACACATTTAGCTGCATTTAGTACTATAACATAATCCGTGAGTCGCTGGAATACCATCAACTTGTTGCATGTGTTGCGTGCTATTTTCAGATGCTACCAGTACATCATCAAAGTAAGTGTGCACAAAACTCCGTTCCGCTGAGAACGTGATGAATGACTTCTGGAATGTAGCCGCAGCATTCGATAACCCGAATGGCATGAGCAAATATTCTAAGAGACCAAATGGAAAACTGTTTTTGGCACATCATTCTCTAACGGGAATTTGATAGTACGCTTTTGCCAAATAAAGAGTTGAAAATACCGGCTTCCCATCTAACACTTGTAGACAGTCCTGTACGTGAAAAACGGGATACCGATCTGGGATGGTGACATTATTTAATTTCCTATAATCCCCACGTCGCCAATCTCCATTGCTTTTGGTCACCATGTGCAAAGGGTACGCCTAGCAGCTTTTGAAGAGTCTGCAGATTACGGTTTCAATCAGGTACAGAAATTGTTATTTGGCTGCTTTAAGCTTATCGGCTGAAAGCCTGCAAGACCGTAAAGATACTTGTGGGCGTCTGGTCTCAATATAGTGAGTAAAATCGTGCTTAATTTTTAGTGGCGTTGAGCTAGCTTCCGCAAGCGCAAGAAATTCGGCAAGCAGTTAGTGAAATTTAGTATCCTCAGTTACTGCCTTCATGTGAGTTATATCTTTGGTGGTCACCCCAATAATAGGTTGAGAGATTACAGCGATGACAAATGGCCAATGAAATTCCCTGCCTAATGATAATTCCACTTTAATGAATTAAAGTCTTCGGCCAAAAGTAGATATTGCCGTCCCATTTTCATCAAAACACTTGGCGGGTGTTTGATTGCGCTTCGTAACTATGGATAGCACTACCGAGACCTTTGCTGTCCTATCAATCAGATACTTTGACACTGTATATTTATCTGAGAGGTATAAACGACAAATCTCCATTTTGCCGTCTCCCGAAGAGTAGAGTGAACCTGTGCCTTTCAGGCGGCACTAGATTTCCGCCTGGAACTAGTGCCGCCTGAAAGCGCGCCGCCGCGTTTTCTTTGAAATGCGGATGGTACAAGCAATGCTCTTTATTACCTCATCGTTGGCGGCTTCATGAACTGCATTTTTTGTTCCGCTGCTCTCGTTCGGTTGAGCGCGATCTCGAACATGTTTCAATCCGAGAAAGGCGGAATCAGATATCCATTAATAATTCATTTAGCTCAGAGTCTTTCGTTTTTGCTTCAAACACTGGTGCACCGTTTCCGGTGGTTAGCATGATACCATCGACCATCTCGGCTAGCTTGTCTAACGAGCCATTGGAAATGGCTGAAATCTGTTGTGCATGTCTTCGGAGTGGCTGCATGTGAAATGTTTTAAGAAGATCCTCACTCATTCGTGAGCCAGCTTTACTTCGCATCTCCCGTAAGTGGTGTGATGATTTTTTGTCGCCTTGCTGCACCCCGGAAATGAGAGCTCTGAGCCACTGTTCCTCAATGTTGGCATATTACGAACAGAGGCGATTTTTGATCGCCGTATATGGAGCCTCAGCTGGAGGGTTAAGAATAATGTCTCCCATAACCGCTAACTCCTCAGGTTGTAAAGCGGAAAC